GGCATGGGGCACCTGGGTGGCTCAGTTGGTTAAGTGACTGCCTCTGGCTCAGGTCATGATCCTGGAGTCCCGGGATCGAGTCCCGCATTGGGCTCCCTGCTGCTCAGCAGGGTGTCTGCTTCTCCCTCTGACCCTCCCCCCTCTCATGTGCTCTCTCTCTCTCTCTCTCTCATTCTCGCTCTCTCAAATAAATAAATAAATAAATAAATAAATAAATAAATAAATAATCTTTAAAAAAAAACGAAGGCATAACAAATGCTAGTGAGGATATGGAGGAAAGGGAACCCTTGTGCACTGTCTGTGGGAACATAAATTGGCACACTATTACGGAAAACAATATGCAGTTTCCTCAAGAAGTTAAAAATAGAACTACATATGATCCAGTAATCCTACCTCTGAGTATGAATCCAAAGGAAATGAAATCAGTGTTTTGACAGATATATGTACTCCCATGTTCACTGCGGCCTTGTTTACAATAATCAAGTTATGGAAACAACCTGTCAGTTGATGGACCAAATGGGTGAAGAAAATGGGGGATATGTATACAATGGAATATTATTCAGCCTTAACAAAGAAGGAAATCCTGTCATTTGCAACAACACGGATGAAACTGGAGGGTGTTATGCTAAGTGAAACAAGCAAGACAGAGAAAGACAAATACTGCATGGTATCATTTACGTGTGGAACCCCCCCAAAATTTAAGCAGTTGAACTTATTGAAAGAATAGAAGGGTGATTGCTAGAAATTGGGGTGGTTGGGGAAAAGGAGAGAGGTTGGTAAAGAGGTGCACGCTTTCAGTTGTAAGATGTAGATCTGAGGACCTAGCGTATAACTTGATGATGATAGTTGATTATACTGTATTGTATAATTGAAATTTGCTAAGAGTAGAAACTAAGTGTTCTCACAAAGGAAAAAGAAGAAGAAAAAACATAAATATGGGAGATGATGGATGTGGTGATTAACTCTGTAGAGGGAATTCTTTACAATGCACACATGTATCAGATCATCATGTTGTACACTACTTTATATTACATTTTTGCCAATTATACATCAATAAAGCTAAAAAAAGAGAAAAAGATATTCATAGAATTTCTGGGAGGATTAAATATTAAATATCCATGAAGTGCTTAGAACTGTATGCATGCAAATATTACTTTCAAAGAAATCAATAAATGTTAGCAAATATTACTGTTGGAAAGAACGAAGGAAGGAAGGAAGGAAGGAAGGAAGGAAGAAAGGAAGGAAGGAAGGAAGGAAACCATGCCTTATAGCTAGTTTTCCCAATGATGGAGTTGAGAAAAGGCTCAAAATGGGTTCTGCTGTTAAGCATTCAAACTCATGGCTAGTTATCTAGCTCTCCCCTCCTATTTATGCCTATGTGGGGACTAGTTGGGGCTTCCTCGGGAACAGGCTAGCAGAGGAAAACAACCAGCTATGGTCCATCTCTACTTGCCTGATTTCGCTTTACAATGAACAGAGGATTTTACTCTTTTCGTTAAAGGTGTGAACTTGGATTTTAGTTTCTTTGTCAGTCCAACGTGGAGTTAAAGCCAGATGATATTTAAGCTATTGCCATCTCTCCTTTATTTATTTATTACCACTGTATCTTTAAAATGTTACTCATGTGCTTATCAAACCCACGAGCCTCATGGACTCTTCGAAGGTTTAAAATTATTCTTGCTTGTTTTTGCGTCACTGGCACTGACAATAGCCTAGTATATAGCAAGTGCTCTATAAATCTGAAGTGCTATGAATCATTTGTGGCTATTCCTAAATCTGCAGACACTGCCATACTTCCTCATTTCTAAAGGCTCCCCCCGCCATGCCCCTCTGTGCTGAAATACTTATGAAACTGTTCGGCGCTCAGAAGAAATCAGGCTTTAGCACAGCTGAAGCTACCTTCTCTTTTCAGTCAATGGTTTGTTGAAAGCTCATTTTAATAAATGCACCAGAGAGGCATTTTTGAATAGGAAAGAGTCATTCAGCTTTGTGAAATGTCCAGGTGGAATAAGTATTAGATGCTTTTGTTATTTCTGCCACTTTGGTTAATGAAGCCATCACCTTTACAATATAATTAGAGCAAGAATAATTCTCTCACCAAATATAAAGTGACACACATAGGATCTTGTTGCTAGAGTGTCCCTCTGAAGAGTCACAGGAAACCATTCAAACACAGGGCTTGACAGACAAGGGTAAATAGAGCCAATTAAGAAAATGGTAAGTAATTTCATGAGAGAAGTTCCAGTTCTCTCACTGAAGATGTTCAGCGTCCTTTTTGTATCAAGCCACTTTTTACTTTTTAAGATCCATAGGAAGTTGCTGCAAAAACATGTTTAGACCGTGGTAACACTTACGCTTCTAAATGCAAAGTCAGAATTCGAGGAGAAAAAAGTGCGACTATAATGATCTTGAGACTGAAGACAAAATTAGTCTTTTAAATTCAGTATTTTGACTCCTCAGAGGGCCAGATAAGTCAACGAAAAGCATGGAGCTCCCAAGAGAAACAATTCAGCTCTTCTTCATGGTCTATTAGGCTAGAAACTTTTCTATTAGACAAGACTTTCTTTGGTCTACCTTGCAGAAATTGGTATTATACATAAAGTGTCAACTCCACGACACTGGTTTGCTTCTCATTTTCATGGCCCGACTTTTCCTTCCATCCATCCAGCGCATCCCCCAAAATGCTTGTTTTCCAGAACAAGTATTTTTTTTTCCTTCAGGACTTGATACATCTTTATTAGCCAAAGACATCTACATACAGTCAAGAAAATGGGCTCTGTAGAATTGAAACATGTTGGGCTTTATCTGAGACACATGGATTTCCTCCACCAGACTGAATGGCTGGAGATCTCTATCGATCATTTACAGTTACTATAGTTGAAGTATGATGACTTTTTTTTTTAAAAGCCATGAAACAACTTATTTTTGGATCTGGCAGAGATCTACCCTAAATCTTTAGGTATCTTTGAATTACTAAAGCAGGATCGCACGCACACGGTAGATCATGTTGGAATTTGTAAAATGTGTGAGATTTTAGGTTTGCAGGGTTTTGACATCGGATCTCATGTTGTTTATAAGGGAGAGGTAGATATCCTAATCTCATTTCTCTGCCAAAACTTCCTTCTCTTTCATTCAAAGATGCCAGGCACTTTTGGGTAGTGGTGGGCTTAGTTAAGAGAGTCTGAGATTTACTAAAGGAGAACACAGGTAGCAACCTCTTCGACCTCAGCCGCAGCAACTTCTTCCTAGACACATCGCCAAAGGCATGGGAAGCCAGGGCAAAAATGAACTATTGGGATTTCATCAAGATAAAAAGCTTTTGCACAGCAAAAGAAACAGTCCACAAAACCAAAAGACAACCGACAGAATGAGAGAAAATATTTGCAAATGACTTATCAGATAAAGGGCTAGTATCCAAAATCTATAAAGAACTTATCAAACTCAACACCCAAAGAACAAATAATCCAATCAAGAAATGGGCAGAAGACATGAACAGACATTTCTCCAAAGAAGACATCCAAATGGCCAACAGGCACATGAAAAAGTGCTCAACATCGCTCGGCATCAGGGAAATCCAAATCAAAACCTCAATGAGATACCACCTCACACCCGTCAGAATGGCTAAAATTAACAAGTCAGGGAACGACAGATGTTGGCGGGGATGCGGAGAAAGGGGAACCCTTCTACACTGTTAGTGGGAATGCAAGCTGGTGCAACCACTCTGGAAAACAGTATGGAGGTTCCTCAAACAGTTGAAATTAGAGCTACCATTCGATCCAGCAATTGCACTACTGGGTATTTACCCCAAAGATACAAATGTAGGGACCCGAAGGGGTACGTGCACCCCAATGTTTATAGCAGCAATGTCCACAATAGCCAAACTGTGGAAAGAGCCAAGATGTCCATCGACAGATGAATGGATAAAGAAGAAGTGGTATATATACACAATGGAATATTATGCAGCCATCAAAAAGAATGAGATCTTGCCATTTGCAACGACGTGGATGGAACTGGAGGGTGTTATGCTGAGTGAAATAAGTCAATCAGAGAAAGACATGTACCATATGACCTCACTGATATGAGGAATTCTTAATCTCAGGAAACAAACTGAGTGTCACTGGAGTGGTTGGGGGTGGGAGGGATGGGGTGGCTGGGTGATAGACATTGGGGAGGGTATGTGCTACGGTGAGCACTGTGAATTGTGCAAGACTGTTGAATCACAGATCTGTACTTCTGAAACAAATAACGCAACATATTTTAAGAAAAAAGAAAAAGAAGAAGATAACAGGAGAGGAAGAATGAAGGGGAGTAAGTCAGAGGGGGAGAGGAACCATGAGAGATGATGGACTCTGAAAAACAAACTGAGGGTTCTAGAGGGGAGGAGGGTAGGGGGATGGGTTAGCCTGGTGATGGGTATTAAAGAGGGCACATTCTGCATGGAGCACTGGGTGTTATGAACAAACAATGAATCATGGAACACTACATCAAAAACTAATGATGTAATATATGGTGATTAACATAACAATAAGAAAATTTAAAAAAAAAGAAAAAAAAAAGAGAGTCTGAGATTTAGCATCTAAGACCATGAGATTCACATCTCCATTCTGTCATTTGCTAGCTTTGTGGCCTTTGGCCACCTCTTAATCTACCTAAATCTTATAAAATGCAGCCAATAACACCTGTTTTACAGGATGAATGTCAGGGGAAAAAAGACATTTACATTGCTTGATTTTTGTATATAGCAGGGGCTAAACAAATGGCAACCCTCTATTTACCACATTGTTTTGTAAAATTTTAATAGTTGGTTTGGGGAATTCTGTATAATAGATGCTGTTTTAATTGACTAAGATGAAAAGCATATTGTAATTTATAACAGCCTTTATTAGATAAAAAATTCCTAGAGCTATTTAAATTATTCTGAAAGCAGTGTTACTAGTAAATTTTACCCTAGTCACTAAAGAAAGGCTATTTAACTCACACATTTTGAATTTCCATTCTAGATCTGTAGATCAACATGGCTGTTCCTTCCGGGGCCAGTCAGAGTGGCCTGTTACATATGGTAAAATCGTTTGTATATATTTTCTAAAAGAAATACCTTAAGTTGTTAGTTTGGGGAAGGGGAGATAAGACAGCAGAGATGTGCTTGGGAGTCACTTAGAAATGAACAGAGTGAGGGACGTCTGGGTGGCTCAGACGGTTGAGCGTACGACTCTTGATTTCAGCTCAGGTCATGTTCTCAGGGTCTTGAGATTGAGCCCCATGTCGGGCTATGTGCTCTTAAGCCTGGGTTGGTTGTGTGAATATGTGTGTGTGTGTGTGTGTGTGTGTGTGTGTGTGTGTGTTATTTTTCCCCTGAGGAATTGCTTGGGATTCTTGCTCTCCTTCTCTCTCTCTGCCCCTCCCCCTCTCATACTCTCTCTATCTCTCTCTCTAAAATAAATAAATAAATCTTAAAAAAAGAAAGAAAGAAATGAACAGAGTGTGGATAATTTAGGACACCTAAAGAACAGAATGACTAAATCGTTTTAAAGGTTGATGTGTAGGCTGTAGAGGGACATTTATCAAGACAAGAACCAATGTGAGGTTCATTGCACAAAGCAGTAGAATGGTAGGGGTGGAAGTGGTAAAAACATGTTGTGTGGGGTTTTTTTAGCCTTCAGTTGGTCAGACTGTGGGAGGGTAAACAGATTGAAGACCCAGTTTGCTTATCGACAGAATAGCTGGGAGAAAATTACATGAAAATGAGAAAAGACACTTTGGGTCATTCTGCTATATTTGAAGTGAAAACTTCAGACACAATGCTGAGAGAGAACAAACTTTAATTAAGCCTGGGTTGTTTGCGTGAATGTGTGTGTGTTATTTTTCCCCTGAGGAATTCTTCTTTAGAAACACGACAGTCCGAGTTATTTTTTATGGGATTTTGTGTAATTTCCCCCACTTACTTCAGCACTGGTATTATTAATGCAGTTGGTGTTGGTTTCTAAAAGCCCTCTTTGACTTATATCATGACCTCATTGGCATTTAGTACAAACACGAAGAATTTTCCTCTTTTATAGGCAAAGTATCTGCAAAGTCTGGGGTGCTCAGTATTGAATACAACGGCTAGTATTTTGAATTTTCTGGTACGGAAGTATCAAGTGTGCCCAATATTTTTGTTGAAACTGTGTGATACAACTATGGCCTCATATTTAGCTATATTCAATTACAAATATTTTAACAAAAAGCCAAGAGAAAGCAAGACAAGATGGAGGTCACAGTGAAAGGTTCCTGTGTTGGAGAAGCTCCCTCTTCTGAACCAGAGCCCTGTTGAGGCATTGGTGGGGAGTGGCTTCGGAAACAGGGGAGGTGAGGGAAGGAGAAATGCCATGTTAAGGAGACTGAGGGGGACTGCCAGCTGACCTGGGCTGGAAGGATTCCAGAGATGGAGTGTTAATTCCTTCAGTGGCGCTGGTGCTTCCAGCACATCGGCAAGGACAAATTATGCTTTTGGAAAGACCTGGGAGGGATGGTCAGAATCACTTAGTGAAGCCCAGCTCTGGTTATGAATATGCCACCATCAAACTCACTAGATGACCTGAGGCTAGTAATTCATCTCTAAAAGGAGGGAATCCAATTAAAATGATCACTGAAGACCTTCTCAGTCATTTTGGTTGTCGTTAATATTAATTCTGTTCAATCAATGACACAGAACTGCTGTGACTTGAAAGAAAAATCAGGGACTTTGTTAGAAAATAGTCAAAGACAAAATTTGCAGATATGATCCTCAGATATTCAGATTTTAGAATGTGAAGGAAAACACCAGAGGCCTTCTGCTTGGCTCTGAAGTCCTGCTGCATTAGAAGCCGTGGACAGCATGTCTGTAGCCTGGCTTTCCATCTTCCCCACTCCACTATTTGCTTTTTGGAAAATTCACTTTAAGGAAAGCCAGAATTTGCACTTACAATGCAAAGGAGATAAGAAGTAGGTGACCATTTTTTTCTCAGAAGGGGAGCATAGAGACCACAGAAGTTACTTTTGGAAGTGGCAGGCCTATTATCTTGGCCCTAAAGCTTCATAATTCTGGTGCTGGTTACATACGAGGACCTCTATAGAGAAGGTTGCCGTGAGCCACTGAACTTTGGATTCTTTGCAATGAGTTTGCTGTTTGCAGAAAAACAAATGCTAGTTTAAAAGAACTTAACTTTGGACGGTTGATATTTACTGAGAGGACCTTACTAATGGGAGAAATATGGTTTTAGGAGCAATTAGCCCACATTTATTGCTGAAGGTAATATACTGTGCTTTTCCATTTTGATTTACAGAGCAATGTGGAGTAATTTTCCACTAAGCAAGGAATCTTCCTCTTGCCTATTCAATTAATTTCTCACCTTTGTTTTCCAAAATAATTTTAAGATTTAGAACATTTTTTCTCAGGACTTCTCTCATCTGTATAGAGTTATTAAATTTCAATTAAAAATTAATTAAGAAGTTAAATCCAAATCCCAAGCCTGATTTATTACTGTTCCCACCTCTGGATAGCCATCTTGCCTTAGGTAATGACCTCATTGGATGTAGCCTCAAGATGTTTTCTACAATTCTAGATTCACTGTCTGCTAATGAAAAGTGCAATCAAAGAGCTGGTTGGTTGTTCTGCAAGTTCCAAACCAGCAGAATAGTTACCTTCAATTAACTGAATAGAGACAGAACCATGTGGTCATTTCTTCAGTGTGTCCACTCATCATTAAGGCTCAGACAATTAAAAGGCAAATGGCACCTAAAGTCTACACTGTGCATATGCATGGTAGGGTAAGGGGGAGATAGGAATGGACTCAGATGATCTGAACCTTTCAGAGCAGTCTCACCTTTTCTGGCACAAAGTATTTTTTCCCCTCTGCTTTCAAAACCTGCCTTTAGAATTTTAGTGAGAACTAAAGGGTCTACTTTCATTCTTGATACTAAACATCAAAGAACTTGACTGGTCCTTTGCAGAAATTACAAGGGTCATTTTTTGAGGTAAATTTTAATAAAAATGCAACTGGATTTTAAATACTTAATCCAGTGAAGTAAATAATTTGTTAAAATTTAGTTATTCAGTGGTCCATTTGTTCATCAACAAACTATGAAGTATCTACTCTGAGCCCACCTAATCCTTAAAGCAACAGGAATTCCCATATAATTCTTATAGCTGGGTTCATTGACCATTATTCTGGATGGCTTACCACAGGTGCTTTACCAGATTGCGCAAAGACTTCAGTTTTTCATTCATTTTGTTTCAAGTTGGAAGGTTAGAAAAATATGATGCCACATTAACCTTCAATTGGCCGTAGGCCTTATAAAATTTGGAGGTGCGTGAGCCAGGATTCTATTTGGAGATACTTAAGCCCAGAAAATTTTCAGAAGAATTGAAAATGATTCAGAAGTTAAGATATGGAGACACTGACATCTAATCATGTTTTGATTTTAAGCAGGATCGGAAGAACCAAGTGACAGGAGATCATTCAAAAGTATCCAAATGAAGCCTGGTCCTGCACTCCACCGATGTTGGGCATGAATGGCTGCTCTAACTAGAACATTCTATGGCCAAAGCCAGTAGACCAGGGGAGGGGCGCCTGGGTGGTTCAGTCGGTTGAGCATCTGCCTCTGGTTCAGGTCATGATCCCAGGGTCCTGGGATCGAGCCCCACATCCAGCTCTCGGCTCGGCGGGGAGTCTGCTTCTCCCTCTCCTTCTGCTCCTCCACCACTCACTCGCACATGTTCTCTCAAATAAGTAAATAAATGAAATCTTTAAAGCAACAACAATAACAAAAACAAAACAAAACAAGACCAAAAAAAAACAAAAAACAAAATAGGCGAGGGGAAACCCAGATCACACTTAACAGGGGTTATACAGCTGTACAGATGGGGATACAAATAGGAAAAAGAACAGTGACATCAGAAGTAGGAATACCCACACAATATAAAGGAAGTAAGGGCAAGAGATTCAGGACTAAAATTAAGCAAAAATATTTGTGCTTAAAATCTATTTTTTATGAGTCTTGACAGCCTCTAAAAGTGGAAGCCTGGAGATTTAAAATCATGTTCTAGGACAGGGCAAGCGTATTAGTTTTCTGTAACAAAGCACCGTAGACCTGGTGGCTTCAAACACTAGACATTTATTCTCTCACAACCCTGAATGCCAGAAATTGAAATCTGTTTCAGTGGGCTGAAATCAAGGTGTCACTGGGGCCATGCTCCCTTTGGGGGCTCGGGGTGCTTCTGGTGCTTCCTTTCTTTGCTTGGCTTGTGGCTCTATTGCTAATCTCTTCTCTGTGGTCACACTGCTGCCTCCTCTGTGTGTGAAAAGTCTCCCTCAACTCCCTATTACAAGGATACGTGTGGTTACACTTAGTGTCCACCCAAATAATACAGGATAATCTCCCCATCTCAAAATCCTTAATTTAATCCCATCTGCAAGGACATCACCCCCTAAAAACTACAAGGTAATATGCTCAGGCACCAGATATTTGAGGATTAGCCATGGATATCTTTTGGGGGACTTATTTTTAGCCTAGCACACCCTATAGGGTGTTCTCAAGTGATGAGAAAAGCCAGATTTGATTGCAGCTCAGTGGTAGGAAAGAGCTTCATAAGAATTGGCCCGTTGAAGATATTCCCCTTTCCTGGCATTCTATCTCCTCTGTCTTCCCAGGAAGGAACCTGGAAGCCAGACAAACAACTACAGCTATCTGCCACAATACTTCGTCATACCTGTCTTGTGGGAAACATCTTGAATGCAATCCTAGAGCCATGCTGAAGGGTCTAGGCCAGTAAGTGTCCTGTGGAGGAGGAAAAGGGGAGAGAAGGACAGAGAGAAGAGGGAAAGAGAGAGCAGGGAGGAGTAAGACCCACTAGAGGGAGGATAAAACGAACAAGGCACATCAGATTTCTGTCCTTAAACCAGAAGTTTTAGCCATTTTTTAAAAAAACATTTTATTTTATTTATTTTAGAGAGAGGGAAAGAAAGAGAGAGAATGGGCACAGAAGCAGGCTGAAGGGCAGAAGCAGAAGGAAAGACTCTCAAGCAGACTCCCCACTGAACGTGGAGCCTGACATGACCCTGAGTCATGACCTGAGCCGAAATCAAGAGTCAGACACTTAACAGACGGAGCCACTGAGGTGCCCCAGTTTTGGCCATTTTGATGGAACTGATCATATGTTTATAATCAAACAGTAACTAAATATTATAATACAGTATATGAACATTAAATAAGCATTATTCATGTGGAATTATGTGTTTGAGTAATTCCATATAAAGAATGGACACAGCCTGAGTAGAAGAATTGAATGTCACCTCTTCTCTGAAACTGTTTCTGAGTTGTCTGTGTAAAATTACTCATTCCATCTTGTTTGCTCCCCGAGGATAGCCCGCATTCACTTGCTGTGCTTCTCGGGACCGCCCGCTGCACACTTTTCTCTCCAGTCGATTGCGAGCTTTGCGAGAATAGGAACCCCATCCATATAAGTTATATTTAACGAGAACTTGGTATGTGCAAACCACTTTACGTGTATTTAGTCCTCTGAATAGTCTTATAAGATAAAGATTTTGTTCCCATTTTAAAGATGATAAGCCAAAGCAGAGAAAGTTACGAATTGTCAAGTCACAGAGAGAGAGAGAGAGAGAGAGAGAGAGAGAGAGAGAGAGGTAGGGCTGGGATTTGGAAGTAATGGTCTGATTCCCAACTTACTCTTGCATAATCTAAGACATTATGCTACCTTGCACCTCACATAGTAAGATAGTTCAGTTCCTTGAATTGGTAGTGGTCAAATTCTTTCAAAATCCAACAGATAAACTATATGTATGAAATGCAACCTTTTTTTTATTGCAGTTTTGTTTTGTTTTTAGAATTTATTTTTAAGGAAGGTTATTGCCTTACTCTTTGGATTATGCTTCTTTCCAACTCAGGAAAAGGGTTGAAATGCCTCCAATTAGGTAATCAAACAATGTAAGCTGTAAACTGTTGTGATAGCCTCAAACTTCAAACAGGTCCCATTGATGTTAGAGGGAGAGAAAAGAAGGTAAAATGAAGGTCTTATTTTGAGTTTATTTTCCTAATAGATGTAATTAATTTTGCAGAACTCAACAGGTGCGCTCAGAAGGCCAGGGTGTAAATGCCATCTACGTCGTGAATAAAAAGAAGTGGACAAAGTGGATTTCATGGAAGAACTGAGCCACCATACTGCATTCATTGCTGTATTCAAGAAACATTTGTTGGATGCCAGTCTGTTTAGAGCTCGTCACGGAGAAACTCAAAATGGAAGTTGCTGAATAGTACCTCTGCTTACCTTTGAGCCATCAGGAAGTCTGGGAATTTCACTCTGTAGTTTGCACTTTGGTGATTTTTTTTGGATAACTTCTCACTTCTTCTTAAAGAAGCTAATAGTGACTCGCCGGGAAGGATTGTGGCTCACACTCTCCCTGCTTTCTGGTGATACCTCCAGGGCTACTCTCATAAGCGTTGGTCAATAAATATTTGCTGAATGGATAAATAAGTGGAGTCAATCAACTGAGAGAGTTTGACTATTCCCAGTAAAAAATAGCAAGACATTACATTTTACTAAATTGGAACATTGGTTTGATTTGAAGATTTTAGATACTGTTAAGGAATTCATCATTTCTCTTTTCCTTAGTTCACATTTGTCTTCTTTTTCCTCCTTTTCTCCTTTCAATCTTTTTTCTCTTTCTCTACTTTTCAGTTTCCCCCCTAATCCTTTTCCAACTACTGAGTATGTCCCCATGATGGCTGTCATCAACCAAATAGATACCTGTGCTTATGAGGAAAATAATTGAATTTTAAAAACGTGATTTTGGGGACGCCTGGGTGGTTCAGTAGGTTAAGCATCTGCCTTCAGCTCAGGTCATGATCCCGGGGCCCTGGGATCAAGTCCCATGTCGGGCTCCCTGCTCAACGGGGAGCCAGCTTCCCCCTCTCCCTCTGCCTGCCGCTCCCCCTGCTTGTGCTCTCTCTCTCTCTTTCTCTCTCTGACAAATAAATAAAATCTTTAAAAAATGTGATTTTGCTATTAGGTTATTTAGATTTGAGATGTTAGTGAGGTATTAGCAAGTTGTGATGTGAGAATATAAATTAAGAGAGAAGTTGGGGTTCTCACAGAGATTTGGAATTTATCCAGCATGAAGGTAATATTTGAAGGTATGGGAACAGATGTGACCACACTGCCTTAAACATAGCACCAAAGTTTACTCTGAAACACTAGCTCTTCTACTGGAATGAACACTAATGGCAACCTACAGTTAAGAGCGCTTGCCCTGTGCCTGCATTGTTCTTAGCCATGCAGTCATTTGGTTCCCACAGCAATGTTGATACTAGAATCTGATTTTGCAGAATGTCTGCTATTTCTGGTAATATTCATCCAGTTGCTATCCATCCAATTTCATTTTTTCTCATTGTGTGATTTAGGACCAATTTTTGAACTCTTCTAATATATACATAATTTTCTGTTTCCATGATCATATCTTTATGTCTTTCATCATTACTGCTACCAAAACTCGCATGCTTTTTTGTTTTGTCACTTAATTTTACGCATAATGGTAATCACAGAAATCACTGGTTGAACAGACATTATGCTATTTATCTTATCGAAACCTCATAACAGCCATACGAGGGACTTCCATTATTATTGCCATTTGCCATATGAAAAGATGGAGGCTTAGTAAGGATCATTAATTTGTTCAAGAAGGCACAGCTAGTCAGGTGGAGTTAGAAACAGTGTCGAGACACAGATGCGATTCATCAGCTGTCTAACTCTGTCTGATGATACTGTCTCTTCTCTACTTTTTCTTGCAGCTGATAAACATGCTTAAGGCTCCTGCATTCTTTCTCTTTTTTTCTTTTTTTTTCATTGTGGTATACTCAACATACAACACGATACTAGTTTTAGGTGTACAACATGATTCGGTTGCAAAACAACCAAGACAAAAAGTCCAGTTAATGTCTGTCATCATGCAGTTGTGATTTTTTTCTTGAAATGAGAGCTTTCATTATGTAATCTCCTAGCTACTTTCAAATATTCATTAGAGTAAAATTAACTGCAGTCATCATGTTATACATTACATCCCTATGACTGATCCATTTTGTAGGTGAAACTGTGTACCTTTTAAGGTGCTTTACTCATTTAATGCAACCTCCACCCCCTACCTCAGCAACCACCAATCTGTTCTCTATAGCCATTAGGATTGTTTGTTTTTTGGATTGCGAATATAAGTGAGATCATCTGGTATTTGTCTTTTTCTATCTGATCTGTTTCACTTAGCATAATGCCCTCAAGGTCTGTTCACATTGTCACGAGCGGCAAAGTTTCATTCTTTTTTATGGCTGAATGATATTCCAGTGTGTGTGTGTACCACATCTTCTTTACCCTTTCATCCATCAATGGACATTTAGATTGTTTCCATATCTTGGCTGTTGTAAATAATACAACAATGAACATGAGGGTGCATATATCTTTTCAAATGAGTGTTTTCGTTTTCTTGACACAAATACCCAGAAGAGGAATGGCTGGATCATATGGTAGTTTCATTTTTAACTTTTTGAGGAATTTCCACAGTGTTTTCCACAGTGGTTGCACCGATTTACATTCCCACCAGCAGTGTGCAAAGTTTTTCTTTTCTTTACATCCTTGCTAACACTTGTTATTTCTTGTTTTTCTGTTAACAGCCATTCTCACAGGTGTGAGGTGATATATCATTGTGAAGACTCCTGCATTCTTTTTTTTTTTTTAAAGATTTCTTTATTCATTTTAGAGAGAGAGAGGGCTCGCATGGGCATGAGTACGGGGAGGGACAGATGGAGAGAATCCTCAAGCAGACTCCCGGCCGAGTGCAGAGCTTGACGTGGGGCTCGATCTCAGGACCCTGAGACCACAGCCTGAGCTCAATCCATGAGACCATGACCTGAGGTCAAACCAAGGGTTGGACGCTCAACCAACTGAGTCACCCACTCACCACAAGACGCCTGCATTCTTTTTTTTTTTTTTTTAAGATTTTATTTATTTGACAGAGAGAGACACAGCAAGAGAGGGAACACAAGCAGGGGGAGGGGGAGAGGGAGAAGCAACCTTCCTGTGGAGCAGGGAGCCCGATGCGGGGCTCAATCCCAGGACCCTGGGATCATGACCTGAGCCGAAGGCAGATGCTTAATGAATGAGCCACCCAGGCGCCACCAAGACACCTGAATTCTTGACGTTACATCATTCTCTTGCTTTCATCCTTTCTCATGACATTCTTTCTAGCCAAGCTTCTTTGGAGAACAGCCTGCAATCACTCTACCTGCATCCTTCTTTCCCATTGTGCTCTGGTCCTCACCCCACTGACTCACACGGCTTTGGCCAACATGCCCATGGCTAAACCCAGTGGATTCTTCAACCCTTTCCTCATATGTTCCTATTACTAAGCTAATTTTTGAAAATGCTCTAATCATATAATTTCCTTGACACAATTTTTCTTTGGTCTTCTCTTACCTCAAGCTTCTCTTGTAGGTGGTGATACCAAGGGTTCTCTCGTAGTTCATGGTGAATACTCTCCCTATGTGTTCCATTCACGTTTCCCATTTTAACTACTACCTATATTAATCCTTCCCAAATCTATATATTTATCTGTGAAATTTCCTCCAAAGTACAGATTCATGCCAATTCCTTTCTGGATATGTACATTTGGATGTTTCTTGAGCACTTTAAAGTCAACCATTCTGGTAGGATCACTCACATGTTTTTTATAACCTGCTCTTCCTCCTGTGTTTCTGATCACAGCAAACAGTAACACCATCTACTCACTCATCCAGACCAGAAAACTGGAGTCACTCTAGATCCTTCCCTTCACCATCTTTTATATTTCACTACTTAAATGCATCTTACATTCATCCCATTCTCTATGTTTCTGGATGTATTGTTCAAATTTGATTCTCCAGTATCCAATTTCACCCTTATCAAACTTACCATTCATACTGTTGCCAGAGTAATTTATCTGACAGCACTCTTCACTCCTTCATGTGCTTCACTTATTTGTATAATGTTTTTAGTAACCCCAATTTAACACACTGATGCTGGAGTGCTCTCTTAAAACCAAGCCATATAGGTACCCTGCAGCACAAGCATGATTATGTCACTTACTTCCTAAGACCCTTTAATGCATTCTGATGGCAGCTAAGATGAAAATTTAAATCATCTATGACCTTCAAGCAACTGCTGGTGCCCCCTGCTTGTTTCTCAACCTCGTTTTGAACCACTTGCCATCTTGTTCTCCACATATACCTTCAGTTTGTGGGACCTGCTATGCTGCTTCCTGCCTCAGGGCCCTTGTATGTGCTACTCCCTCATTGCTACTCCCTCCCCTCCTCCTTACCCTGGAACACATATACATTTAAATGAAAATAAAATGAAAGTTTATTATTGATGTCATTCTAGGATCTCACAGAACTATGTCTCCTTCAGAGGACTTGCTTCAGTTTATAATTAGATAATCATAAATATGGTAATTTGATTAATGGCTATCTTCCTCATTTCCCTGTTAGGCTAAAAAAATGACAGCTCTGCTTATCATAGCAACCCTGCATCAGTTCCGTGCATATAGTAGGCACTTAACACATGCTAATTAAATGAATGTTCTTTTTAGTATTTCTGATGTTTTAGGTGACCTTCTTTTTTTCCTCAGAGAATCATCTTCAACAGACCCTCATTTATCTAGAAGAAATGGCAAATGGGGTTTTCTGATTGTAAAGAAATCTCGATCTCCCTTAAAACATGCAACACACACACACACTCTGCAAGGAGGAAAGTACATGTGGGGAAGGCAGATGTTTTCATTGAAGTTTTAATTTCATTTGGGATTTTCTCACAGGAAGAATGTGTTTCCTCTACCATACTTGGTTCTGAGGCATTAACTACCACCATCCCTCTTTATATTCTGTGCCAAGAGGAAAACATTCCCTTCCTTTATTTACTCTTAGCCCTGTTGACATTTTCCCCCTAAAAAGCATTTTCTCAGTAATATGGAAGAACTGCGGTAAATATTGAAGCTCCCAAGGAACAGACGGGTTGCTGAGCATAGTCTCACTCCTTGTGAGGATGGCAGATTTGTTTCCCCTCTCACCACATCTCTGATCCATTGGTAGTGGCTGCCTGGAGACATGTGTGAAAGGGAATCTGAGGGCATGGCCAGTCTCGGTGGGAAAGTGCTCTGTGACTAATTCATTCAACTTATTGAGCGCGTGTTATATAATTAGCAGGCTGGCCAGGG